AGACTGGACGGCCATTTGTCTGAAATGGTATAGGGTTTCCTGCCTGAGCAGGGGGTTGGACTAGCTGATCTCAAAGGTCCCTTCCAACTTTACGATGATGATGATGATGATGATGATGATGATGTCTTGTGCTCCTTACTTACTTATTTGTTTCTAATTTGCCATATTCTCATTGAGGCCTAATACTACTTGTGCTAAATTGGTCTTTACTAGGTAAACATTTCATCATTTTAACATTCTAAATCTCTTAGAAAGAAGTATGTATCAATTTAAAATATGTAAAATGATTAAAATATAGTTCTCAAACTTCTTTTGGGGCTATAATTAATAGGTTGTGGTTACCTTTTTTATTGTCCATTTGTTTGCACATTAAGCACTGCTGCAATGGAACTTTTTCTGAGGCTTGCTAGCAAATGAAAGCATCCAAAGGTTTCTAGTCCTGAACTCGGGAGCAAAATCCCTTAAGCATTTCCTTTTGAAGGCCACATAGGATGGACTTTGTAATACTTGAAACATAGTTTCTGCAGTACTGTTGCATTGGCTAACTAATATGGATTTTCTTGTGTTTTAAATTTGTTTTTTTTTTAATTGTATTGAAAGCCTTAACCTTCAAGAAAAGCCATGTTAGTTAGCCAGTGCAACAGTACTACACAAACCATGTTTTAAGTATTACAAAGTCCATCCTGTGTGGCCCTCACTTCTAGCAATAGCACTTAGACTTACATAATGCTTCATAATGCTTTACAGCCCTCTCTGAGCAGTTTACAGAGTCAGCATATTCCCTCCCCCAACTATCTGGGTCCTCATTTTACCGACCTCGGAAGGATGGAAGCCTGAGCCAACCCTGAGCCAGTGAGGATTGAACTGCTGGCAATCGGCAGAATTAGCCTGCAATACTGGATTCTAACCACTGCACCACCACAAATGTTTAAATTACATATAACACACAAGTGACATATATCTAATTGGTCTTCAAGGAGACTAAAGTACCGTTCTTGGCTTCTCTCTTCTTGTGTTCTCCATATACAGTATCTCAATGCTGTGGGGCAGATTATTCAGAGGCCCAAATTCACTCAGCTAGCTGTAACTCTGAGTAGCAGTTTCAGCATGGCCTCCTCAGTCCTTGTCTATCATCAAACTGATTATTTTACAGTGCCCTGCATCCCTCTGTTTAGTGCTGCAGCATATGGCTACTGTGCTAAAATATGACACTGAACATGTAGCACTGTATATACCATAAGAACTGTTGTTCCAGAATATTTAAAAATTAAATATATTTTAACTATGATTAAAAAGAATTAGAAATTCGAGAAAATAAATACTACTAAGCTAGGAGATATATATATTTTAAGTACTATGTTATTTTCTCTGTTCTGTTACAACTGCTTTCTTCTATTCTTTTGTATTTTTTTTTATTTTTTTCTCATTCTTTTTCTCTTCCCCTTCCTTTTTACTTTTATATTTAATACTTAAGAAACACAAAAATGTGAGATGGCTTATATGCAAAAAATAGAATCAAGTCTGTCAACGTAAATGTAACTAATTGCTACCAGTAAAAATACTCAGAATTTGATGGGAGAAATAAACTAAAATAAGAATTGTAACAGGATTGATGATAAGGCAATCTAAATGAATGGAAAGAAAAGAAATGTATTAATATGATGATTATTTTTTAGGAATATTGGAAAAAATATAAACTAAATTGTCAGTTATTAAAACAATAGGAATTTTGCAATGTTTGCAAAAAAGGATGTTTTAGGGAAAGAGGAAAGTAAACAAAATTAATATATGAAATACAGACTATAGAAATTAATTGTTAAGGACTGTTTTTACAAATGTAACCCAGACATCACACTGTTTACCAATTATTGAATGACTTATGTTTGTGTAAAAAACTAATAAAAATTATAATAATAAAAAAAGAACTGTTGTTCCAGATTGAATCAGAAGAAGGGCCATTTAATGAGACATTTGGCGTTCTCATCGGTATCCAATCTGATGTCTCAAAGAACCCAAAGACCTGCAAGCAGGCCACAGATTTCACCTCTCTTTTCTCAGCCATTCCTTTTTCAAGCTTCACTTAGTTCAATCCATCGGGAAGAAAAAGAACCCTTTTTTGCCAATTATTGTTCTGCTCTTGTCTTCTTGCCTGCTGCAAAAAGCGTCTGCATTTCTGCTATCGTTACATCTTCATGTGTCAGACTTCCACTGATTTCTGCTGTTTTTGCAATATCTGCCCAAGTGGCTCTCTGTTTCTTGGAAGAGTAACAGTGGTGATGATTAAAAGGTTTTACTGTATGCATATCTTCCTGGCTGGGCCATTACTTAGAAGCTTAGAGAAAGGGGGTGGTAGGAATAATTCTAATTATGTAGCCATTTTCAAGCCTATTCCTGCAGCACTGAATAAAGAGCTGGATTTGTAACATATTGCAGGACAATTATTGCCGACTTAAGCCCCGTGAGAAATTCGGTGTACCCCAAACCTGTACTTTAGTCAGAACAAATGTATCAGCCTAGGATCTCTTGACATAAATAAAAGCTAATTCGCATGACTTTCTTATTTAAAATTATATACATTTTTAATATTATACATTAAGGCCCAGTACTGTAAACATGAGTACCTATATATGAGCACAAATAGTTTTCGTAGATTTCCTTACAGAAAAATACAGTTCAGCCATAATGCCATTTGAAGGTTAGACATGGGCAGAAAGCCTTGCAAAGAAGTTTCATCAACAGGAGGGGAACCTTTACCTGGGTGGCCCAGTTAGAAAATTATGCAAGGATGAATTGCCAGCATGGGTGTCCTTATCAGGGAAATAATAACAACAGATGCAGCCTAGAAGCCACTGGATCAATAAAACTGATTCACTCTTCGATTCTAGGATTGGGTTCCATTCCTGTTCCAACCTCAGGTTTAGTCCATTATATATATATATAAAGGTCTTCTTTGAAAAAAGGTCTGTTTCTGGTGACTTAATGCACATAGGTAATGCCTGGCAACAAATAGCAATAGTTTGTCACTGCTATGATGTTTTTCAGCCTCCCATCCTACGGTGGGATTTCCTAGGTTTCCCATCCATTTCCCATCCAAGTACAAACCAGGACTGACCATGCTTAGCTTTCTTTCAACCAAAGTCACAAGGTGTTGCCATCAGTGGTTATGTTCAAAAGGAGAGGGCATTTGAAAAAACAATAATAAAGGGAAGAAGAATCTTTCTCCAGATAAGCTAGCTGGATTTTGAAAGTGGTAGATGATCTATTAATTTAGCCCATATTAGATCCCACTCTTCTTGAGACCATTTGTACCTGTGCTGAAATGTACGTTAATCCTGTTTGGCTCATTAAATGTAGAACAACCCTACATTTTGTTTCTAATGCCAGGACTTTTAAGGAACATCTGGGCACTGAGCAATATACACTGGGTTCCCAAAATGGTGCCTGTAGATATTTACTTTGCTAGCCACAGGCTCCATGCTCTTCCTTTATTTAAAGATTCAGTATTTTGTTATAGGAAATCAGCAGGCAGCAAAGCAAAAACTGACTTATAAGAGAAATCTGGGCCCTTCGTGTACACCTGCTACATTCTTAGAAAATAGAAAAGATGGGAGGCAGCCACAGCAGCAAGCTACATTTGAAAATGTTTGAAAAATCCAGAAATAAGAAGGAGTGGACAGCATTCCAGGAAGCTATAGGTGATGGTGAGTAGCAATATTGTTCATTTGGCTTCTAGTGACCAGGATATGGTTTCAGTCTGAGTACATCTACAAGCCCCAAACATTTATGAACCTAGATTTGAACTAAACTCAAGCCTGTGAAAGTATGAGCACTTCTTGATAGCATGCTAAAAATCTGTTTTTAAAAACAGTCAAAAAGTTAATTTTAAATAACCAGGAACAGAATATTCATACCCCCCAAATTAATAAGCCATAGTCTTTAAAAGGAAAGGAAAACATATATCTGATTCGATCACACATTTGGAGTAGAATTGTCAACTTTCATCTCAGGTGATGAAGGAAGAACCAGCTCAAGGGCTGGACTGAGCAGATGTAATCTTGTAGACATTATTCTACCGGCATTACATAATTCCATTATGTTCTATGATTAGACACTAAAAGAGAAGCTATTTACAGTCATGTGCAGGACCTGCACACCGTTCATTTTCAGGTTGCGTAACTCCAGTTCTGGCTCTATGCTCTCTATGGTCATAAGGTGAGAATCAAAACAAAATTGTATGACTGTTTTGAGAAATTATTTGTCCTTTTCTTCACAAGTTCCATTTCTCACAATTCTATCAGATACTGTCACTCATTGCTTAGTCATGTAAACATATGCAAGCATTATATTGCTTATTGTGTGGACTTCATGGATTAATCGATCCTATTATTGGTTGAATACATTAAGGATACTACCTCGTTAAGCCTTATTCCTACATAATGAGTTGGAAGCACCTTTCAGCAAATCAGTCCACAGGCATTGTCAGTTACATTTACTTGTCTGTCCTTACTAATAAAATTTTCCTCGATTTATAAAAGACCTGTTCAATTCTTATTCCCATTTGTTTGGAGCGCTCTTAAAACCAATCTGAAATAACCAAATTTGCTATTTTCAATCTTCTATAAATAATAAATTTTTCAGTGAATTAATTCCACACCACTCAAGTCCCATTCAATTGTGATTTTTTTTCTTTCTGAATATTTCTGAAATAAAGGAGAATCTTTTAAAAATTTACCAGCTGCATACAAGAGGAAAAGTAACTTTTCTATACTTTGCATGACAAACTCTCATTTTCAATATTTTCTCTGCCATACATCTATTGTCGATAGGGTCCCTGTACTATTTTGTATCTGGAAAGGATAGAGGGAACAAAGTAACTGCTACCAACTGGAATGTCAAGTGAAGAGACTAGCTATAAGGTGCAGTTCTTTAAAAAAAATTCATGTCCACCTTAAGGCACTGGAATTGTTCCACCTTAAAAGTATTAACCCTGAGCTAGAGCCCAACCCTTTGCCTGATGCTGATGCTGCCGATTCCTGCAGCAGGAGGAGGGGGATACAGGCACTGCAAGCAACATCCCAGGGTACCACAGGCACGGAAGACTTACCAACCCAGCCGAGAGAGCCAACTGCTCTGCTGCTGTGGGGTGACAATCTAGGAAAGGCTTCCCCTTTGTGATCCTTCTTTCGAGAGTGCCTGTGTGCAACCTGCTTTTGCCTCCCTCTGTCTCTCATTTTTTTCCTTGGGAATTGCATCTCCTGCTGCTCTTCACTCCTTCTAGCTACAAAAGCTGCACACCAAGACAGAGTCCCATTGCCCAGCCAGCATGACTACTGAAATCAATGAATGCAGCATCAAGGTGCTTTGTAGGTTCCGGCCCTTGAATCAGTCGGAGATCATACGGGGAGATAAATTCATCCCGGTTTTCCAGGGCGATGACACCGTCATCATTGGGGTAAGCAAATACTGGAGGTGAGAGAAATATGTACAATCTGTCTGGAGATGCTTCAGAAATGAAAGGCTTTCACTTCTTGATCCTCTTAGTAAGGCCTGTTCTGGATGGCAGATTGCCCTTGAATACAAGAGCTGGATGCTCTTAAAGCCAGCTGAATTCATGCTTAAATTCAGCTCTTTTGTGTGCTAAGGAGCCATCCAGGTGGAATCTTTTATATCTTCCTGCTAGCTTAAAAGCTATCATCATAAACAAGGGCGCCTCTCCATCTGTCCAACGGAAAGATGATAATGCTAAAAAGATGCTTTGAGGTTTTTTTATTTGTGTTTGCATCCTTGAAGCCACTGGGTGTGGCTAGTTTAGCTATTGGTTTGACTCCTGGGAAAAAAAATAAAGGAACCTCTTAGAATTAGATGGAAAACAAAACAAAAATTCATAGCAAATGCAATGTTGGTTTCTCTCCATTAAATCTCTTTGTAAGTGCTGTATTTTCTTCTCTTTCCAAACCTTAAAATTATTCTGTTAGTTCAACTTTAAATTATCCTGTTCTTTCTCCTCCACATCCCCACCTATAGAGTATTCACTCAAAGATGAAAAGTTGATGTCTAATTGGATTTTCCAACATTAACAATTGTAATTTTCCTGGCAATTCCCACTGCATCCTATCCATCTCCATAATGCTCCATGTGCCAGTTTCATTCATAAGTATAAGAATACAAATTATGCAGGTGCTTGCTAAATAGTCGGCAGGTTGTTTACACATGTCTAACAACGCCCCTGAAGCTTGTCCTTGGGGTCGCTGAGTTTGCTTCTTTTTGTTATATTCTGGTTTTTTATCGATTTTTGGCGATTTCGGGAGCTAAATATACCTACTAAGGGGAGGAGTCATGACTGATTTTGCTTGGAGTAGAAACATATATGCTGTTACCATGCTGAACAATTATGTTTAACCCTCCTCTCATAATAGACCATTGCCACTAGCCATTATTTTATCAGTAGCTGGTTACAATTGGGGGACTAAAAAGGCTTGTGTATGTTCAAGAAGTAGCTAGTTGTCACTTTGCACAGGGCCAGCAGATGAATAATCTACCTCACTAGTCTTTAAACTGTAATTTAGGGTTCATCCACTGGCCACAACTGATAGATAATAAATTAAGATTAGTTTGCTTTGCACTCAAGGTGACCCAGCAACTCATGGAATATGGGAGGATTCAAACTCCCAAATAGTCTACTTTACTGCACATGAATTTATGCTTTCAGGATCTCTCCCTAGTCCCTTGCAGCAGAGGGCAATCAGCATGGCCTGCCTGCTTTCTTATTGCACCGGCAAATTAAGGCCTGTGATCTCAAATTTATTTTCCACTTGGATGTCAAGTTGTTTTCTCTTGCCTTGGCTTGGAAAAGGCTGGCATGTAAAAAAAAAAAGCCTTTTTGATTTGGTCCTGCTGCACTGCAAAGTCATTCCAGTTGGTGGGTTCAACAGAGATTTTCAGTGGAGCTCCTGAACATGATGGGCCTGTGTTCACAATTTGTGTCGTTTCTTTCTTTCTTTATAAAATCTGAACTACAGTTATCTGTTCATTTGAACTACAATCAAACTATTCAAAATTGCTTAAGCTCTACCCCCCAGTTATCACCAGATCAGTTAAGACTGGTCTATTAAGAGATGGATTCATTTAGGCACTTGAAGTTGGGTAGATTTATGCCTTTCCTGAAAGACAACCCCATTCTTCTTCCTTTGGAAGAAAACCACAGTAAGGCATGAATTTCACTGCAGAGAGAGCAGGCAGCAGGACGCCTGGGCTCAGCTGCTTGGTCATCTCTCAGAGCAATGACTAGGAGCCTTCTTTGCTAGGTACCACTCCCTTCCTTTGTGTTCAGCTCTAGGCCATTATTGGATCCATTTCTAGGTTACATCTTTGTTTTGATGCCACCGTCATCTTGATCTTCTGCCCTTTACTGCTCTTTCCAGATCAGATTGCACATGGCTCCAAGGGTTGTGTGTGTGTGTGTTTATGTGTGTGTGTGTGTGTGTGTGTTTTGGAGGGGGGTGCTCCTTTGCCTGTGGCAATAGGTAAAGCCACTGATTTTACAATCAGCATCTATCTGCTTGCATCCATTCCAGGACACTTGGAATGAGCAATAGTGATGATGTATTTATTATTTGATTTGCTGATTTTTTTTCCATTGATGCTGAACCAATTTTCAGCTGGAAAGAACTTACATTAATAATTGATTTTGTTACACATCAAGGATATCTGTCTATTAGCTGTAGCTTTTTTTCTCCTGAAATATTCTGGGAAAATTATTCTCATATCTTTTATGATTCTCTAGTCGTGGTAAAAATGGTGAAAACATTGTTGCTTTTGAACATGTTCTAAGGAGCCTTCATGACTCCTGTACCTTTTTTTTGCTATTGTTATTATTATCTCTCACTATACAACAGAAGTTAACCATATGCAATTCATAAACCCTCTTTCTGAAACCCTATTTTTCAGAAATTATGTTGCTAAATACAAGCAACTAATCACTACAAAATGGTGAAAGTATTTCTTTTCGTTATTCAGTATATGTAAAAGAAACCACATGTCATGTTTTGCTATGTACTAGTACAATCAGTGGTGGCGAATCTATGGCATGGGTGCCAGAGGCGGCACTCAGAGCCTTCTACGCCATGCCCTGGAGATGGCAACCGTTCCTCTTCAACCAGCCACCTGCTAACTCGCTGAGATCTCACATGGCTGGATGCATCCCAGCACCTATGCGCTTGCTGGCCTCTGTGCAGGGGCCGATAGTGTCAGGCAGCAGTCTAACTTTTAGACTGAAAGTTGAAAGATAAAAGTACTGCTAGAACAAAAATAAAAGTCAAAGTATAGACAATGTGCAAATTCTTCTGCAGAAATCATTTTATGAGTAGGATGACACCACTGTAAAGCCATTTTTATAAAAATCACCCTCCTCACTTGTATAAATTTCAGAATGCAAAAAAAGCAAAAATACTTACCATCGTTTCCAATGAATATTGTAATATTAATTTGTGTTAGATTTACCTTCTTATTTATGGCAATGAAGATATAGAGCAGTGGTAACGAACCTATGGCACGGGTGCCAGAGGCAGGACTCAGAGCCCTCTCTGTGAGCACGCGCACCATCGCCCCAGTCCTAGGCCTTCAGCTGGGTTTTATAAAACCTTTTCGCTTTAAACCTCCACCACCGTGTACAAAAAAAAAAAAAGGATTCAATCAGTCAATTTCAACTTCTCACGGAAAAAAAAAGATCTTGCAAAGTTGGAATTGATTGATTGAACTTTTTAGTCCCACCCAGTCTGCCGTTACCACCGCAGCCATGCCCACCAAATGGGCCACGCCCACCTGGCATTCGATGATGCATAAGTGGGTTTTGGGTTGCAGTTTGGGCACTCGGTCTCTAAAAGGTTCACTATCACTGATATAGAGCAACCTTTAGATTCACTTTTCCTCCAACTTGGACACCCTCCTGATACATGGACTTCTATTCCCAGAATTCCCCAGCCAAAATGGCTATTTGCTGCCATTTGTTACATTTGAACTTTACAGAACTAGGAAGCAGGCAGGTTAGAAAATATAAAGGTACCATTTAAATCCATCCAGGGACCATCCAGTCAGAGCTGAAGAAGCTTCTTGGATGAGAAGCGAAACATCTTCAAAGGAAAACAAAAAAGTCCAGTTGCATTGTGAAAAAGTACCTTTGGGATATTGCTTTTACTGTCTGCTCCCTCAACTCTCTCATAGCAAAACAGCAGCAACACTTTACTATACAATATGGAGTGTCTTAAGCAGTATCCACAGAAAATCAAGTTTTTTTCCATCTCTGCACCTCAGCCAGAAGCTGCATGGCCACTGGTCTGTTGCTCTCAACCTTTGCCTACCTCTTGGGGCTATAGTTTCTTGCCAGCTGCCTGGCATCTGTATCTCCTAACTTACTTCTACTGTATTCAAGAAGGGTTAGAGCAGGGGTGTCAAACTGCTGGCCCATGGGCCAAATGTGTCGTGCCAAAACCACGCCTACCCCAGCTCCAGCAATGGGGAAAAAGTCATGATACGCTGCAACATGTCACATGACGTTGCGAGTTTGACACCCCTGGGTTAGAGGGACCATTTTGAATCTTCTGTGGTTGAGATTGTGTCCCAGAGTGTGTAGGGTGGCTTTGCTCTCTACTGGGGAGGACTTCCATTCCCAATGAGTTATAGTATTTTGTGTAAGAGTTTATTGGTTTGTGATGATGCTAAGCAGGTAATATATTTTGTAAGACATCACCATTATAACCTTCAGAATGATTTACTAACCTGCTAAGAGGTTTTTGGCATGGAAGCACATGCTTAGCAAATATAAAAATCTACCTTGTAAAAAACCAGTTGAGTTGTAACTTGGATGACCATTTGTGCAGAAAGGAAGGAACAAATCAATTCCCTGTGAAAAGGAAAGGGGAGATAATTTCATTATTCTAATTTGTGTATTGAAATTCATATTTAAATACTTAATAGATTTTAAATGGAACCCATATACTATTCCTTTACCATAGTATAAACTACTACAAGAGACTGTGCTCCTACAAAATCTGCTGTACAGGTGTTTACCAGTGATGGGTCCTCTAATTCTTAAACCAAATATTGGTAGAATACTTGGTCCTTCTATTTACTTTGTCCCTTCTGAACCAGCCTGCTAGGTTTAACCAAGGAGAAAACCAGGCTACTCACTCCATTTTGTGTTGCATTTTATGTTGCTTATAGCTATCAAATATAGTAAATTGTTATTAAGCTACACTATGAAACACTTTTACTAAGGGACAGGAAACCTATTATCTTGGCTTGCTTATTTTGCTCATTGTCAAAGTAATCTTCTAAATAGCTGAACAATTCCATCTTACCAAAAGGGAACTAAGATTAATTTTCCTAATGAGATTGTCTTCTATAATGTAGTATTTTTATTTCTGGGTGAAGCTAACTATGAAGCTGTATGGATAC